TAACGTCATCAAGTTTATACTTTTATTAATAGAAATCTTGTAATAATAATAATAATAATAATAATAATAATAATAATAATAATAATAATAATAAATAATAATAATTTTTTATTCCAAATAAAATTCTTATATTTCTTGTCACCGACGTTTAAACATTCAACTAAATATTAGACACAGAATAAATATGAATTGTCTTTTATCCTCTTAGCAATTAATCGTAATTAATCCAAATAGCAATGTAATCTTCGATTACAATCTGCAAAACTGTCCTAATCGTTGCAACTACGAAGAAAATAGTACCGGTGCATGGGGTTAAGAAAACGGCCGAAGAATTTTCAGCCAAAATTCGAAACGTTTCGCTTCGTCCAACGAAACGAGTTACGAGCGAAAAGCGCGCCTTCGAAAAGATGATGGAAAAGCGACGAACCACGAACGTCGTTGAACTCTGATTGTACGATACGACCGACACGATTGTATTAGCGAGGCGAATGCATGATTAATGCTAACCCGTTCGGGTGGTACGATGATAATGTCGACCCACAGAACACGCCCCGGAACACCGGAATAATACATCAGCCAATTAATTAATCCGAAGCATCGATCTATCCTTAATTAGTCCTGCCGAGCATCGGGCCGCGTCGAATCAGCGCGCACGGTGATAATGGGGAAACGTGATTGCGAGCTGCTTTTATTGTATATCGGTGCTTGTTTAACGGCGTTCGTGTTGACGCCGCGTTCATACACAGTAATTTCTCCCAGAAATTCTCGGAGCACGGAAATGAAACCGGCAGATCCGAGAATACCGAGTCGCGATTCTTCGAGCCTCGCCGGGCTCGTCTTCATGGAAAATCGGGGCGGACGGCGAGAAAAGGCAGCGGCCAGCATGTCGGTGTACATTAATCATTTTAGCGGCCGCTGACACAATAGTTTAATAGCAAGGTTTAACAAGATTATGTCAAGGTTTAACAGCATTGTTGCTTTCTGTTTACAATGAGTAAATTTGAGAAGACGAGTCGATGAAAGACATTTATCGTCGATCCTAATCTTTTTTACAATGCAATTCAATTAGAATGCAATTCAGTTAGAATGCAATTCAGTTAGAATGCAATTTAGTTAGAATGCAATTGAATTAGAATGCAATTCAATTAGAATGCAATTCAATTAGAATGCAGTTCAATTAGAATGCAATTCAATTAGAATGCAATTCAATTAGAATGCAATTCAATTAGAATGCAGTTCAATTAGAATGCACTTCAATTAGAATGCAGTTCAATTAGAATGCAGTTCACATAGAATGCAATTCAATTAGAATCCAGTTCAATTAGAATGCAATTCAATTACAATGCAATTCAATTAGAATGCATTTCTATTACAATACGATACAATTCATTTACAATACAATGCAATTCCATTACAATTCAAATCAATTACAATTCAAATCAATTACAATTCAAATTAATTACAATTCAATTAAATTACAATGCAATTCAATTATAATACAATTCAATTACAATGAAATACAATTACAATGCTTTTCAATTCCAATGTAATTCAATCATGTAATTGAAATACAATGCGATTAAATCACGTAACTGAAATACAATGCAATTAAATGTCATAACAGAAATACAATGCGATTAAATCACGTAACTGAGATACAGTGTAATTAAATTCCGTAACTGAGTTACAATGCAATCGAATTAGCACAATTTTGGAGTTCAATAGATCTGGCATCGCCGAAAATGTCGCTCGGATAATCGAAGTTCCGAGAAACGGAGTTCTATCCGTGCCGCGTGAAATCCGTTCTGGGATGCCGGAGGGATGAGCGATTTGATCGGCGCTTTTGGTAAACAAACCACTTAGTTCCGATTATTATCAGGGACGCGGCCAGAAGAACAAATAACGAGAATTCGATTGCGCGGCGTTCCGCTTAACAATGGGTCGGCCGGACCGGTCCGGTTCGGTCCGTTCGGTCAGCGTCGTATCGATTACGGGTTGCCTAGAAATTCCGCGACGGACGAACTATTCAAATGCATAGAACGACTGGGGACGGCTGGGGGAGGGAGGGGCGAGAAAGGGGGGGGGGGCGAGATGAATTTCCACGGTGGATATTTTCGAAGCTTTGGCTCGTCACGAGTAATTCATGCCGGACAATGGACGAGAAATCAGCGTTTCGCGGCGCCTCACGTCGCCACGCATCGCTTCGGCTCGCATCGGCTCGCCCCGCGTCTCCCCGCGTCGGCACGCATCGCCTCGCGTCGCCTCGCCTCGCGTCGCGTCGCTTCGCCTCGCCCCGCCTCGCCCCGCCTCGCCGCGCAGGCCTTCCCGCGCGAACCGGCAATTCTCGCGGAGACGGTTCGCGCGGTCGGTCGGACACGTTAAAAATTAATCGACCGGCTTGACAGCGAACGGTCACGCGCGACCATACAAAGAAAGCTATTGTCGAGAAGTCGCCGCCGGAACTGTCTGCGACCTGTCTCTTCGATTAGTCGCGACCTGACCGTCTCGAAACACGCTTTCGAAACGTATCAGACGGTGACTCATTGTTTCTCCTTCAGTTCACTTTGCCGGGTTCTTGCGACGCCATTATCTACTCTAGCAGCCAGTAAGTGGGGGAACGTAAACACAAAGGTGACTTCTTGCCGCGCGGGGACTATACCACGTTCTCAGCGTTAATCAATTTATTAGTAGGCTTGTCGTAGGTGAATTGTGCTGACGCACGATTGTTTCTACGCACCTGAGTTGGAACCTTTTGTATCCAAAGGCGGCGGGGGGTCATCAGGTGGCCCGTACATGGTATCTTTCGTCTGAGTAGCCGGGATGCTGCAAAAAGAAAGTTTCGCATTCGTTAGTTGAACGATTCCCATTGTTGTCTCGATACGAAACGAGACGTTGTTCGAATAAGATTTTATTCGCTTAAGAATTCGAATTTCGCGTAAGAATTTGTTTCAATAATAATAAATAATTAATTTCGATAAAAATGACAGAATATAATCTGTCTGTTTGTCATCTTTTATCGATTTATTTTTTCTACGTTACTTTGTTGAATTGCTTGAATAAAACATTTGTCGAATTATAGCAAACGAGCTCGACAATCGAAACGATAATTCGAGAAGAAGTATTAGGTACTTTGCATTGATCTAATTCGCTGGATTGTGGACAAAATTTCTGTCCATTTTGCACAAACTTTTCGCCTTAAAGGACAAAAAGATAACAAAATTCGTTACTGTCTCGAAGAATAATTATTATCTAAAACAATTAATATTTTCCCTAAATTATAAGCTTTCATCTAAACGGTTCTCGCTCTCGAGAAACTCAATTTCGCAGAAATATTTACGATTCATTTCTATTTGTTGCACCGCGAAAGCATTTCCGGAATTTATATTAAAATTAATACAATTATTCCTGCCCTCGTCTTTGCTCTGGCCAATTGCATTTTCTTCAAAGCGAATTCCATTTCCTTTTTATCTTGAAAAAAATATCAGAGATGCCAGATGCATTGCCGTTGAACCGTTCGCTGGGCAAAGTGGCGGAAGAAGAATGCGACGGAAGAACATTACGAGACTGCGAATTTTATGTAACTGCCATAAACGCGTGCAGCCGTAACATAAAATTGCGAGGACGCAAGAAGAATTTATCAATATACAGGGTGTCCCAAAAATGTCTCGCAATCCGAAAGTAGGGCATACCTGAGGTCCTGTCTCTTATACACATCTAGATGTGTATAAGAGACAGCATACAGGGTGTCCCAAAAATGTCTCGCAATCCGAAAGTAGGGCATACCTGAGGTCATTCGAAGCAACTTTTTCCTTAGCAAAAATGCAATCCGCGGCTTCGTTTACGAGTTATTTGACGAAAAACGGTGACCAATCAGAGGCAAGATCATTTGGCGCGAGAAGGCCGAGCCAATGAGCGGAACTGGGCACCGTGCGCTCTGGCTGGGCCAGCCGAGCTCGCCTCTTATTGGTCAGTGTTTTTCGTTAATAACTCGTGAACGAAGCCTCGGAGAAAATTTTCGCAAAGGAAGAAGTTGCTTCAAATGACCTCAGGAACCTTCCATTTCCGGATTACGAGACATTTTCGGGACACCCTGTAGTCACGCAATGTTCTGTCCATCGAAACGAAAACAAGAGACAATTTATTTTCGTTCAAATTCTGCTTCTGACAAGCGTCTTGCAACATTTCTATTTTCCATAAAATCTCGCACAATTCTAAACACCACAGAATATTACAAGTCTTTGTAATAATAACAACGATGATAATAATAATAATAATGATAATCGTTTCGCATCTCTGCCAGGGTTGCAACGGGCTGTGTAACGAAAAAGAAGCTGGCATTCTCTGGTCGCGATACAGTGAAATGAATTCGAAATAAAATATAATAGGGGGTCGTCGTCGTAGTCGTCGTCGTCGTCGTCGTCGTCGAAGATCAAAGGCGAGGCATCGTCGGATTCTCCCGTCGTTTTAACGACTTTGGGCAGAGCCACGTGACCCGGGGATCATTAGGAGGTACTCGAGCGGCCCTCGAACAACGATAATTCTTAGTTTAATTCCTTGGCGACCCGTGTCTTTGCACGGATCGCTATATACGTGGTACGTACGTACGTAGGTTCATAAAAGGGAGGAGTGAGAGAGAGAGAGAGAGAGAGAGAGCGAGAGAGAGAGAGTGAGAGAGAGAGAGCGAGAGAAAGAAAGCGTGAGAGAGCGAGAGAGAGAGAGAGAGAGCGCGAGAGAGAGTGAGAAAGAGAGAGCGAGAGAAAGAAAGCGCGAGAGAGCGAGAAAGAGATAGGGGGAAAGAGAGAAAAAGGAAGAGAAAGAAAGAGAGAACAAAGAAAGATGGAGGGAAAGAAAGAGGGAAGGTTAGAGAGGGGGAGAGGAGCAGACGGAGAGAGAGAAAGAAAGAGAGATAGAGCAGCGCGTCATTACCGTGAAGGACGTTTCAAATTGCTCGGCTTGAAGCTAAGAAAAAAAGAGCCCCGAGTGTACGAGTGTCCCTCTAATGAACTTCCTTTGTCCGGTAATCAATCGACTTTATATGTACCGACGTTGTCGCTGTTCCCCGATGATCCTCGCCACAGGGTTCTTGTTTTCATAACTTACGCGAGAAAGAACATCGAATTCCCTGTAATTAACGATACAGTGATAGGTACCCCACCGTTCCTCGGTGATCCGAAATGTTAGGCTAATTCGGATTACCCAAATTTATTTATTTATTCTATTTATTGGTGCTATTTATTTATTCTTTTTATTTATACTATTTATTGATGCTATTTATTTATGCCATTTATGTATACTATATTTATTGATATACAATTTATGTATGCTATTTGTTTATGCTATTTATTGATATACTATTTATGTATGCTATTTATTGATATACAATTTATGTATGCTATTTATTTATGTTATTTATGTACAACAATTGTAAATATTATACAACGTATAAACAAAACAAGATTCGTTTATTTCTGTACGATGGATTCGCAAATTGATTTCGTTAGCGTTGTTTAAAGGAGCAGCTTCAATCATCACCGGATAATCCACGAGCCTAATTTCGGGCTCCTTCGCGGCCAGCCGTCAATTACGACGACAATTTGTCCGCCTCGAGTTACAAATTGAATTACCGGGAGAATCTCGTCGCGCCGAGGGGCTGAAAAATGTGTTCGGGGCTGATAAGGTGCCATGGCGAACCAAGATTTGTGGTTTCTATTCTGTTTCTTTCTTTCTCTCTCTCTCTCTCTCTCTCTCGCTTGCTCGCTCTCTCACTCCCTTTCTCTCTTTCTCTCTCTCTCTCTCTCTCTCTCTCTCTCTCTCTCTCTCTCTCTCTCTCTCACTCACTCGCTCGCTCTCGGCACGCGTCGCATTGTCCAAGGCGTCCTAGCCCACTTCGCGACGCGTGTAAACAAAGCTCGCACTCGACGCAATGGAAACAGCGGAACGGCGACGGGCACACGCGCTGCTAACAACAGACTTGACCTTTCGGTTCTCGAAACCGGCAAGATCCGAGGAAGCTATGACGATAATAGTACAGTCTTTAACGCGCGTTACGGGGCGGAGAGATAATGGCCGCGCGGAATGAGAGGCCGCGCGAGTAATAAACCGGGAATAGAGGGTACAATAAAAAGGCAGCGAGATAGAGACAACAATGTTCCGAGAGAAGATGAAGCAACCGAAGGAAGCTAACGAGAGAGATAAAATAGGATCGCGGGCGAAGTGGAAGGTAAACATTGCTAAGTATACACAGGAGCAACGAATGTGTTACTGCGAGCTACAGTAATTTCTCCCGAAAATGCCAAATTTCGGGTTACTATGAATTTCCTACTAGTTACTGCCGAATTTCCTGTGCTAGTCCTACGCCCATGGAATTTATTGCAACGTCAATTTTAACTCCTGTCGTCATTAATTAAGCATTTAAGCAACTAAATCAGGGCAAATAAAATGAATATAAATTTTCTTTTTCTTCTACGAAACTGTCACGATCGAAAAAGTGCTCGTCACTGTCACTGCGAGGAAAATATTACGGCAAGGGTTTAATATACAATATCGTGGCTGTCGCTGAGCAAATAAAAAGCACGTTAATTTCAAAGCGCGCTGTTTTCCTTCCTTTCTTTTTGCGTTGCGTTGCGCGACAACGAGAAAGGAAATACCGCGCGCGAAAAATATACAGGGTGTCCCAAAAATGTCTCGCAATCCGAAAGTGTCGAGTTGCTCGGGTCATTCGAAGCAACTTCTTCCTTTACAAAAATTTTCTCTGAGGCATCGTTAACGAGTTATTAACGAGAAACAGTGACCAATGAGAGGCGAGCTCGGCCGGCGCGAGGCGACCGAGCCAATGAGCGGAACTGGGCTTCGCGCGCTGGTTGTCCGGGCCGCCTCGCGTCAGCCGTACTCGATTCTTATTGTTCACTGTTTTTCGTTAATAACTCGTTAACGGTGTCTCGGAGAAAATTTTTGTAAAGGAAAAAGTTGCTTCAAACGATCCGAGGAACCCGCCATTTTCGGATTACGAGACATTTTTGGGACACCCTGTATTTCTGCAGGAGAACTACTTAGCCACCAGGGTTCCATTAAAATCTGCGCTTCGACGTGTGTTTTCTTGTCGTAGCCACCACATACGTAGCAACCACTCTCGTAATTACAGCGCGCGCGTCCGGTATTCGCGCGAAATCTGGTTCGCCTAGGGGGTGAGCGAAGGAAACGCCGTTTTCTATCGGCGGAACGGATATATCGATCTCAAGTCGCCAATGTTGTCGCGGAAGGGTGCACACGCGAGGCCCGCGAGAAAGGTTTCCACTCGCAGATAACGATTGCAAATATGACCTATAAGCAATCTGGGTGGCCGACCTGCGCCTTGAAAATCGACCTCGCGGCTTTTCTGCTGCCGACGGCGGCGCGACGCGGTCCGACGGCTCTACGAAAATTCTGTCACCCGGACATTTCGCTGTGGCTCCTCCCATTTCACGCTCTTCGACTCTTCGACGCTTCGACGATCTCATTGGCAGCCGCAAGTGGCAGCCGCGATACAGCAATTTCTCCCCAATTCGCGTTCAGATTGCGCAGAAAAATCGACAATTTTGGGAAGAGGAGATTATTCAAGCCTTGCGAACAATACTTTAAAATCTAGCAGAATAGAACTAAATTTAAAGAATTTCTAATTTTTTATTAAGGGTTAACGGTTGACATTGTAGCGGATTTCAATTTCTACGTTTTGACAGAAAAGTTGTAGCTATGTTTTAGCTAGATTTTAGCTAACTTAAAAGAGGAAAAGTTATAATTTAGAAGGTATGATTTAATAGCTATAATTAAAAAGCTATAATTTAATACCTATAATTTAATAGCTACAATTTAAAAGCTATAATTTAATAGCAATAATTTAATAGCTACGATTTAAAAGCTATAATTTAAAAGCTTTAATTTAATAGCTACAATTTAGAAGCTACAATTTAATAGCTACAATTTAATAACTATAATTTAAGAGCTACAATTTAATAGCTATAATTTAAAACATATAATTAAAAGCTTCTTCGACCATGACTAAGTTTTGGCAGATCTCTGTCCAAGATCAAATTTTTCTGGGGCGATAATAAATAGAAATTTCCCTTCGTCGAAGCAATTCGCGTATTGCGAAATATTTTTGCACTCGATTTCAAAGGGAACCGTCGCGTTCGGCGAACGCGCCGAGTTACAAAGCTCTCTGTGATTTCTGCCCCCCCCCCCTCCGCGTTTCAAATCCGACTGATTACCTGCGAAACTTCGTAACACTTCGAGTGAAAGTTCGTTAGGATGCAACGAAATTCGCTCGGGCTCTCTTTCCCTTTGTCTGAGCCAGATTAAGTGTTTGTCAGAATTTAATCAGCCCGAGAAACAGTCTCATAGCAAACTCCCGGCGGCGGGGATTCTCGCTTTAATCCATAAATTCAATTACCCTTGTGAAAACGGCTTAATGATATTAATAGTTTTCCGGCGGAGGCGGCGGCTCCGGGAGATTCGTTCGCGTCATCGGCGACCGTTGGATGAACTCGCGACGACCGCTTTCGTCAAATGATGACGGAGGGGTGACCGCAACCCTTAACGAGGGTAACTGTCGCGCTGCATAAACTGAAGAATTTCGGAGACACGCGTTCCCTATTTTGGCCGGTAGATTGCACGATTATGCATAAAAACGGATAAACAATTAATAATAATTGAAAAGAAGAAAGAACATTATTTTTTTAAATATTGTTTAACCCTTAGCGCTCCGAAGGCTCTGTTACGGAGACATTTGTCATTTGTTCCGTAACTCCGAAGGCTCCGCTGCGGAGCCGAATGTTTTTAGCATACGTTATCGTCGGCGTTAGCAATTGTTATCTGTTGTTAAAACGTGCTTTTTTTTAGAGCCGAGCGATACCGAAGACGTATTTGATTTTGAAGAGTTAAAAGACATTGTGGAAGACAATGTTGGTCATGATTCTGACGCTTCGAGTAGTAGCAGCGAAATTATACTACCAAAGAGACGAAGAATGAGAATTATTGAAAGCGAAAGCGAAGATTCGTTACAAGACTTAGACGAATGGCGCGATGTTACGGAAGAATTACATATTCCAGATAGAATACCTTTTAGCGTATTGCCACAGGTCGTTTGACCACAAGTTCTTACTAACATTGAACAGCCGATACAATATTTTAAATTATTTTTCACGGACGAATCGGTAAATGAAATTATAAAGGAAACCAACGATTACGCAGAAAATGTTCTAAACTTAAAAGAAATATCTGGTAACTCTATTTGGCAAAGTGAATACTGTGACACTTGTCCAAGTAAACCCAGAATGCACATGGGAGATTGTTACCAAAGATATCGCACCATGGTGAATTACAGAATTTAAAATTTATCTTTTATTTACAATAGGAAAATGTATATTTATAAAATAAATAAAATATCGAATGCATTCGCAAAGACGTGTAATCTTTTTCGCTCGAAATAATAAGACTTCCATTATCTGAGGCGCTCCGCTCCAAAAATGTGCCGGAGTTGCGATTAAATTTGCCGATGAAAGATGCGTATTTTCTTTGGTTCTCGAAGAAAATTAGTTCTCTTAACGCTTCCACGACCGCACCAGAAACCTTCATTCGATTAAACAAAAATTACGAAGCAAGCTTATATAGCATCAATTACTCCTTCAACATTCGTACCTCTTGCAAATCTGAATAAAATTGCACGGTCAGTTTTAATTAGACGCGGAAGATCTCCCCAATCGGTCATCGATCGACTGAATTTAAAAAGGGGGAGATCAACCCCATTCGGTTGGCTAAGTGTTAAAAAATATGGTTTTTATCCCTCGATTTTTAGGGCGAGAAGATATAACAGATATCGAAACACATAAAAGAGTTATAACAGAGGAACGGTAATAAAAAGATACGAGAGAAACAAATTTTTCGATCAACAACATCGTACGGAAAATCTCATTAAAATCGGCTAGTTACACTTGGAAGCGTTCCCGTGTAAGGGCGGGACACTGGAACGGAGAATGGGCAAGGCTAATTAGAGAAACAAACTTAAAAGACAACAACAGGCGGTCGAGGAGATAAGAACGGAACGGGGTGCAGATTTAAGAACTACTCAAAGTAGACCGCGAACGTGGCTGGCCGCCAGAGCCCGCGGTCGCTAAAACGCTAACTTCCGCGGAGTGTGAACTCTCGGAGGCTCCCTCCCGGTGGTCTGACAACTCAAAGGTTTAAATCCTCAGACCACGTCTGAGAGACGTTGTAATCATTTTTAGTTCGATTCTTTTTAACTTGTGCATTAACTTTCACGAAATTTCTAACAATTCTTAATAATAAATAGGCGTTGTTGAATCGAATATCTCTCCATTTTTGTTCACCTCAATGTTTCTACTTGTCGAACGTCAAATAATACAGGGTGTTCCATAATTATGTTAATACTTACCAAAGGGGTGATTCCCGAAGTCATTTGAAGCAACTGCGAAAATGCAATCCGCGGCTTCGTTTCCGAGTTATTAACGAAAAACCAGTGACCAATGAGCGGAGCTAAGCTCCGACCGCTAGCTGGCTCGGCCGCCTCGCGCCAGCCGAGCTCGCTTCTCATTGGTCGAGCGTCTTTCGTCGATAACTCGTAAACGATGCCTCGGAGAAGATTTTTATAAAGGAAAAAGTTGCTTCGAATGACCTAAGGAATCACTATTATCACTAGTATGCAAAATTTAAACAGCGCGAAGTTTGAAAACACTTAAAAATATCGACACCCTTTATAAAACAGCGCGAACGCTGGTCGATATTTGACGCGTCGATACATACGTGCATTCATACAGGAAAAGTTTCCGCGCTTCCCTGATTTTAAGAAGCACTAGAAATTCAGGCGCGTCTTACAGTTTTGCCGCGGAGTGTACCAACAACGGTGCGGCAGCCAGTCTGTTCCCGACACTGCTACTGCTTCTGTTGCGCGACAGATAACGGTCCGCGCGCGGCCGCAGCTTCGACAATCCGAACTTTCTTCGTTTCAAGTTTCCGCATAATTATAGCTTTAGGGACATCGGCGGCAAGGTGACGCGCTGTGCGCACAGCTCGCCGTCGAGTTGATTGGGCGAACTCGAGTGCCGGAATTATAGGGCACGGCGAGGCGACACGCTTCTACTCGTTCCCTGCCTGCTACGCGTGAACCTTTGCGCCCGTGTTATAACCGGTGACCTTTCCGTTCGCAGATTAATCGACCGGGTGCGTATC